ACAAAGCTACAAACTAACTTTTTGAAAATGAGCGAAAAAAGGGGACTGTTAGCTGGACAAGCCGTAAAGTAAAGCAATTGTGCCTGATGGAATTTAAGTTAATCCATGGACGGAAATGTTTTGAGAAGACCACCCACTGGCGCCCATGGACGTTTTGTCCGCCCATGAGTGGAAACAAAAATTTTTTTTCTTCTTAGAGTAAAGTTCGTTCGTATTCTGTCGTAGCAAAAAGCTCACTCAATACCGGCAATAATAGCTATTGTAGAACGAAAAAGCATTTTCATCCATGGACGTCCTTGACAGCGCGTCCATTAACGCGCTGCTGGACGCGGGCGTGAAATGTGTTTTGAGCGTCCGTGGTCATGAATGTGTCATGAGCGTCCGTGGACGGATAATTTGCTTCCATAATGGCTCCTGCCTCATAATTCAACCAAGCGACAGTCTTTGCGGCTTTTTTCTCGATTTTTTTTATTTTCAACCTTTTTTAAACGTTCTTTAGTCCTTATTTGTATATCTGCTTCACTCAGAAGAAATTACACAAAAGGATACGCTGAAAACTGAGTTGACTAAGTCATTGTAGTAGGCCATTTTTTATGGGTCTTGTAGAGTAAAAATAGTAGAGTAAAAATATTCTAAAAATTTTTTAAACGAACGACAGATTTTTTTCACTAACAGCTAAGCTTAGAAAGAAAAGGTACTTTTTAGTTTCTTCAAAGAATGAGTAACGTTCTCTATGGGAATCGACCTTACTTAACTTTTGAACGTTTCTTGCAAAATTGAAAAGATCGATCGCTTAATCTTTAATTTCGTTTAAAAGTATAATATCATGAAAAATGAAGGGTTACACTTGAGTATGTTGTTTTGTAAGTTAGTTTTACTAATCGAAAACAGAACGATACTCGTCTTAAAGAGGACATTTTCTATCAGAAAACAGATACGTTTCTTCTCTTTCAACAGAAAAAAGTTGCAGAATATTCACATGGATTTATTTTTTCAAAGCGTCTGTTGATTCAGTTGCCGCTTGTTGTTCCAACTGTTCTCTTGCATTATCAACCGCTTTACTAACCATTTGCTTCACAGAGTGATCGACAGTTCGCTTGACTCCTTCTTGAGCTATTGGGTTTAAATCAGCTATTTTTTCTTCCACTTTTGGATCTATTGTGTCGTGTACTTTATCTTCAAGTTGACTTTTTATATCGTCGGATGAGATGTTTTTCATCGCAAGTTCACGAACATCTTTACCGTTCTTCTCTGGATAATCCGAATACATTAGGTCAAGGTAACCATCGGGGGCAGCATTTTCCATTTCATTCACTATACGATCAAGCTCAGTCTAAGTAGAACATACAGAACAATAGATATCAAGCAGAAAATTTTGTTCAGAAGCGTCAGTGGCTACTTCTAAAAACTGACAATATTGAAAACGTAGAACATAATATGTTCTCGTCTATAACATTCAGGAGGCAAACCCAACTGGTATTAAGTCAATTCTTAAACACAGCTCGTACGGTCTAGTGGCTTTTATTCTCTTTCTATCTCACTAATCGAATAGTTTAGTATCCTTTCCCATGTATTTTCTGTTAAAGCTAGCATTTACCTTGTAGCTGACTGACATCTTTCCAATATTTTCAAGAATAACTTTATTTATTTCTTCCAAAAATTCATCATCAACAAAATTGTCCGGAATAAGCGTTTTTGGTACAATATTATTCAGAACAGGACTGTTTGGAAGAACACTATCTGACGAAATTCTTGTACAATAACTACCCATGTGAACAGATTTAGAAAAACGTTTAGTATCTATAAACAGGTAAAAGATTTCTCAGCCATATAACACTAAAAATGTACATTAAAGCAATAACTAATCTTGCCCTAGAAGAAATTCTACACATTTCTCACTTATTCCTACTCGGATCCTATAGAATCTCAAAGTAAGAATTCTTGTAGGAAACAAATAGAAAGTGTATAGGATTTTATCTAGCATTCACTCATTGCACTTCCTTGTTAGGGTCTTATCATGCCGTTGTTCACTCAAATTTCCTTACCTGAAGGTAGACTAAATCATGGAAGAATCCTAGTAGGATTTTCCTGAGATTCGACCGAGAAATATACACGTTTCTTACTAGAATGTTATCTTCGCTAAAATATGAAAAGACACGTAAAAGTAACAATAAACTGTTCAAGGTTTATTATTCAAATTTCTGTTTATTGTACATTCTTGGCATTGAGTCGATACTAATTTAATAGCCAGGGTATCTATCTGTCGACAATATTAAAAACGATCTTCAGCTGATTTTTTGTAGCACAATGTAGAAAGACGTGAGTTGCACGAACATGCGTGATTTTTGCTCGTATCGTAACACATCGTAATCATATGTGACAGTTTATATTCTGCTTGTAGACACTTATGTTTCCTACCTTTTATTCTTTATGATTGTCTTTTTCAGTATTTGCTTTGATAAAAGGTGTAGACTTTCTATGCATTCTACATAAATGCATAAAAAAATCATAAAATTTTGACATGATAAGTGCTTTTTCTTCAAAATGATAAGAATAACTATGCGACTTCTCTCGTTCTTGCAGTCGTCATTGCTGAAACAGAATAGTATTTCGTAGAAGTGGATATATTCGTATAATACGAAACTAAAAGAGATTTTCCATTTGCAACCATACAAGACCGTTTGCTTTAACACTAGATTTAAAAAAGAATAAAAGTTCATTTCTCAAGTCCACGATCCAAAAGTACTGATAAAAGATGTATTTCGCTGCTTATATCATGCCTTTTGTGCTCGAGTTTCAGAACCTCTCAATTACACGAGACCGTATCTGAGAGGATATTTGGAAAGCTTTTTGCACTCTGTGAAACCTATATGCGATTCGTGTAATTGCAAACGCACGGATGTCGTACGAAATTGTCTTCTAGTGTTTCAAACTACGCTTCAGGTTTTGCGCACTACATTTAATCAACTTAATCTTTTATATTTTTAACTTGATAATTCTCTCCCATACTGTACAACTCTGCATCATTTTCTGACATACTTCTGTTGAGTTTTGCCAATATATCCTCAAACTAAAGCAACTTCTTGGAAAAACTTGAGAACATGACAGAAGAGCACCCACGTCTACACATGTTTTTCATATCTGTCTTGTTCTTAGCAGAAGTCACTCAATCCTTCTCCATACCTTGTTGTGTGCATAATTGAAATTCTTCAGATACAATCGATCTGCATATCTTCAGTGTTAGTTCAGTATCTTTACTTTCTCGAAGTTTCAAACGTCTTACGACGAGGAGAAAAGGGGTGTGCATCAAAAATGGGCGGATATCCGAAATATGAATATTCGAGATAGGGATATCCGACACCGGATATCGCCCAACATAGGTTAGAAAATACACATTCGCGAAGAATTTGATGTTCTAAAAGTGAATTCATGTAAAAGCTGTAGAAGCATAAAGGCTAGATGGGCGGATATCCGAAGTAGGAATATCTAAAGTTGGGATATCCGAAATATCTAGAACTGGGATATCTGAAGTAAGAATATCTGTTAACAGTGTATTATTGCTGTTATGACGTTTGGGCTTCCTTTATAAACATGTGTAAATTTTTTTCTGCATTTTCGTCACTATTATACATTATTCAAAATGAAAAAAAACAGCTCGATGCTACACTTTAAAAATAGTCTGTATTTTATTCTTCTTTATCCGCCTATCAGCGAAACTAGTATAGACAAAAAAAGCTTTCTTTTCTTGCATATACCGCAATAAAAACTGATGAATTGTTGCTTCAAAAATTAAATACAACCAAACTTTTCTCTTTCTTATCTTTTCGAACTGCTTTCATCAATAAAAGTCGAGATTTTTATTTCATTCTAGCAATCTGAATATATAGAAATAGACCGGACATGTCTGTGTATAGAGCAGACATGCGGATGTCATATATATGCAAGAATTTTTGAATTGAATGTATTTTGA